CTACCAAATATGTATCGGGTGAAAAGCAAAGAACATTTAGACAAGTGTCCTGCAAAGAAAAAATGTGCCATCCTCTGCCCTCTGTTCCTTCGGCTTAAGACTGTTCATTTGTCTAGCGAGAGACAGAGGACAGCTTTACATTTGTTCACGCAAACTTAGAGATAGCTTATACAGCAGAGGTGTCCACAAGCTACAAGAATTAGATGGAGACCAACAATCCCTTTTGTACAAGGCAGACACTAGAGGTGAATGGCTCGATTTCTCACAGCCAGATTCAGATTTTAGGTCTAAGGACTGAAGCAGACCCTGAAGAATCGTGAACTGCCTGCCTGTTATTTGTTGCCTGCTATCAGTAATAAAATGCCATCAGAGCCAACACAAAAACCTGCCGTTTTACAAACTGACCTGCATTTCAACTTCTCTTCCCCTCCTCCCATTTCTATGATATAATGGAACCCACTTACCACTCAGCAGCATTGTAATTAAACAATCAAAAAGCAAACAAATTTCACATCTGACAGTCCCCAGGAGAAAACTGATATACATGAAAAAAGCATTTTAGTTTACTTAGGGCCATTCTGGTAACAACAAGCTCAGAGGGATATAATTAGTACCCTGCAAGCCAGCATATGAAAAGGCTTAATTTAACTGAGTTCAGAACTAAAGAATAGCTACAGAAATTAAAAGTGAAGCCACAAATCCACACAGGACTGCCACAGCTAAGCGTTTTTATGATCAGGAATTCTAAAATCGTAATTCACATGTACCGCACTCTGATTTCCACTTATCCAGAAGGGTAGGCATTATTTTGGACCACCCTGAAACAGCTGAGGTTAATCCGAGGAGGTCAGTCTGTGGGTCTTTAGGAGTTCTCAGCAGCATCCAGGAAGAGGCACACAGCACTGGGCAGGTTAATTCTTATTCTCCAAGTCTGCTGAACGGGTGCCTCCCTCTTCAATATAGCCTATATTCTTCTGCACATTAAATCTATACAATTGTTTTGAAATGCTTACAGTCAAGAGAAGAAAGTCCTTATATCACAGACATCCCAACTAAGTTTGTGGGGAAAAAAGGATAAGCTCTCATACTCTTACTTGGAATGCTACATTGATATTAGTGACTACTATTAGAGAAAGTAGAAAATAGCCCCACAATATTTACTCTGTTGTGACCAATGGCACATGCTGGAAAGCAGCTTCTTTTAAGCTAACTCAACCTAACAAGGGAATCCCTGCAAAGAAAGATTCAAGTGCTGGCAAAGACAGCTGCTGGAGGTGACAACATGGACCACAGCTCAAGGCAAACTGGATGCTACCACTGTATTAGATTGACCCCACCGACAGCTAGCCTTTCCCAGAGAGCTGTGGCTGACGTGGAATTCAGCACTAAATTTGTTTGAAGTAAGGCTAGATTTTGATCATTTGCATTATATTACAGGCATGCAAAAAAAATTCCAGACAGCAAGATGTTCCAGCACATTTCAATTTTTCAAATACAAAGCAAAGGAAACATTTCAAAAACATGACTTGTAAAGCTTTTGCTGCTTGCTGTTAAGTTTTGCTGTCATCAGGACAGCCTTTTTTGGTTGAAAAATGTTTATTGCTAAAGGTCACAGAATTGTCTCTCAAACAAATTAAGAAACAAATGGCTGTCGACACTTCCAGATGATGATTCATCTGTCCAAGAGCTCCAATAATGCAAAGCAACACAGCTGCCTCTCAGGTTATGCTGCAGACCACAGCAGCCACCAACTAACCCAGAAATCTGTCTTCACTCTCCTATCACTTTGTTAGCCAACTTCTTAACCCTCTTCGTAGTCACACCAAAACACTGATGTGTGCAGTAGCCAGGTTTCCATACTGACTACTTCTATTACTAGCAAAGTCCTCTTTATTTCATGTGAAGCAAAGATTCTCTGTGTACGAGACACACAGATGAAAGAGGCTGATGGACTGGCACTAACATCACCACCTACAGAAACCAGTGCAATAGCAGAGCGAGAGCGCAACGCTAACAGAACCTCAAGGGCAGCTCGGCAAAGCCCAGTATGTTCAACCCCAGCACAGGTCAGTACACAAGAAATGCTAGCAAGAGGGATATAGTCTCCTTGCCAGGGAAAGCCAAGTTCTTGAAGGTTAGTCTTTTTAAAGAGTTATTAAAGTGCTAGAGGTCTGTTTAGACAGCCCTCAAGTGAAAGGCCATCATGAGGTACAGCAGAGTATATCTGATATTTTATCTTGTCAGGGTAACCTCTCGATAAAAAAAATTAATAATAGATTTTTATTGAGCGATTATCCTTTTCATCTTTTGCTTTTCACTGGAGTTTATGATGACTATTTACTCATCTCTTCAGGGAAGAAGCTGACATTTACTGTTCATACTATGCCTCTCTGATCTCAAATGTGGCCTCTACTATCGCTACATCCAACAGTGATTCTATAATTTTAGAAGAAAGATGCTGTTACAAATTTGTGGGACTAGCATTTGAAACAGAAGCACAGCATTCCACCTTGCAGACAATGCAGAGGACTAATCTTTTATGATTTTCAAAGAAAATCAAGAAATCGCTCCTCATTCTCTTTACTGCTCACTGGTTCTGTGGCACAGCGGTGTTGATCATCAGCTCGGACACAGGGTTTTTATCAACTACCCAGTTTAATAATGAGAAACAGATAACTGGAGCAGTGGCCTAACAGTACAAATCCAAGAATGTGCCCTTTTCAAACATACAACATGCAAAGTAAAAGTTTTCCTGGAGCCTCCACTCCTTCCTGCAGTTCAGTTTGATGCGTTAAATTATCAGTTCTCAGGTATTGGGTTGAAGTGATTTTGTTTTGTTTTTTTTTTAAATACATACAATGGATAAATTAAAACCAGAAATTTGTAACCAGCAGCCTTTCAAGTCAAGATCATGTGTTTAGGACTTAACAGCCTCCTGAAGACTAAGGATCTATTTAAACTCAGGGAGGTATGTGGAAGCCACCCCCAGTGTGGTTAAGGAAGAATGCTGACTGCTGGAAAAGGAGCAGCAGCCAGCAGGAAACGTTACAGTGCAGACACAGAACTGACAGCAGTGAAGGAAAAATGTTTCATCTTAACCAGTAATTGTCCCAACATGCATAGATCAACTGAGCTAGCAGGAAACCACTGTTTTTTAACAAAGAAAAAAAAAAAAAAAGGGTTTTATTAGCACTCTCTTTGCCTGTGTGTCGTTCTCTTCCCTTGACAATTTAGCTCACTGTCCAACACCAGTAGTCTTTTATATCCATCTATAAATAGATGCTGCACACAAATTAATCTCAGCTACTTCTTGCAACCTCTGTATGAAAGATGGATGACTGACAGAGAAAAGCTTGCATCTTATCAGAGGCAGGTGGAACAGAGCAAGAGCGAGCTGGACGAACAGCACGTGTACAGACTGACAAGGAGCAGGGGTAGGAGAGCCAGGAGTGTTCTCTTTCGCCTGGTCAGAAGGGCACATCTAGAGAACAAGGAAAATAGAGCCACAGGAAACCAGATTTCATTACTTCCACTTCTCTAAAAAGAAACTCGTTTGTACAATTCAGCTGTGGTTACAGCATGAGCTTGCCTAATTTGCTTCTAGACTGAGTAGCAATAAAAAGACCTTGTTGGAAGGGTGGGGGTTTTTTTTCTCTCCCCAGCTTAGTATGAAAATCCTCTAAAGAAATACTTATTTCATGTAACATTGATTTGTTCAAACCAGCATGCCTTGCTTGCAAACTAATTAGAAACACACTTTAGAACAAATACTATAGCTGCTGGATAGAGCTTATTTGAAAGTCAGTATAGGTCAGAACACTAAATACTCATGAGCTTGTTTCCAAGCTCATTTTAGGAGCTTCCTACTTGTCAAATTTTTGGAGGTGTATCCTTTAGTATCCATGTAGAGAGCTCTTTTCCCCCAGTTGAGTAATTTCAGTGGCAGGACTCTTGAACTCTGCAGCTGATAAAGCTAAATAGTCCTAGTAATTTTAAAGGAGAAAATAGAGTTGCTGGATCTGTTCATAACACTTTAAAGTCACTGTACCCTCTTCAACACAGGAGAACACCAGTTACTTCAGAGGACTTCCCATGTGATCTTTCTAGCTATGCAATGTCTACATGACAGAGGCATTCACTCCTCCTTCACTTGACTGCCTTTTCCACCATAGCAAGGGTGCAAACTACAAGACAAAGTAAACTCTAGCTTAATTTATGTCACGTAGCATTTAAATGGTTCAGAGAGAAAGATCCCTTGCCTTTCTGCTACAGAAAAGTAAATTCAGCAACTACATCTACACATTGCTGCTGCAATTACAAGTTATTGTTCCATTTGTGGTGATGCATTATGCCAGTGACTACATGTCTTTGCATGTAGCACTTAAACCTAATCCCAAATGACTACTCCTGGCAATGCAGTACAAAATAAAGAGTGTAGTTGCAAGCAAGTCAGCAAGCGAGAGCAGTCAAAGTTTTGGATGTTGCAAATTTACTTTTCAGGAGCACAACATTCAGGAGAAAAGTAAGCTAAATCATAGGCAGTCCCAGGTGGAAACCTTTTATCAAGGCTTCTTTTACCATTTTCTGTGTCTAGAAAAAAAAAATGCAGAATGTGAAGAGTGAGCTATTCTCCCCACTCCCTTTTTTTTTTTTTTTAATTCCAAGCATCAAACATTTAACCCTGGGGTTAAATGTTAAGGGCTACACAGGCCCTTAGCAGAATATTAAAACCAGCTTCCCTGTTTATTCACATTGTCCAAAACGCAGGGCAGCCCATGCCATCAGCAGCTAAACCAGCACAAACTGAATACGGAACGTGAGATTTTTGCTAGACTTTTGGTCTTTCAAATGTACTGGAGCAAGGTTCACCTGAACTCTGCTCTTGGCAAGTAAAAAAACCTCAAGTCATTATACAGGTATTTGCAAGTTCATTGATCCCTTAGGTAAGTAAGCATAGGTAGGTAAACATAGGTGGAGATGTTACATACGAATTATCATACCTCTGTCACTGAAGTCATCCACCAGCACTATCTCTGCTATCAGCTCAGGAGGGGAGCGGTTTAGGACACTGTGCACTGTCCGGAGGAGAGAGGACCATCCTTCATTGTGGAATGGTATTATCACGCTAGTGTTCGGAAGCTTCTCCAGGTACAGCTTATTCTTGCAGCTGGACACAGATAGAGTAAGTCAAAAGGCGGTGCCAAAAACCACCAGCATTTCCATATTAATTACCATCAAGTAACTTAGTTTATTTTTTACTCCTCAAATTGATGCAAAGTGCCTGAAAAAACCCCACCAACTTTCAGGCTTTATCAAGCCAGTGTTGACCTGATCTAGTCTACCTGGCAAAAAAAAAAAAAAAAATTCCATATGAAGTGGGGACTGTGACACTTAGAAACACAGAAAGTCAGAGGGATCTATTAGGTGCTGAGGCTGCTTTTAAAGGAAACTCTGGTTATAGCTTAACATACAAAAGTCTCTAAGATACTTGTTTTCCCCGTCCTTATACTCAAATATCACTGGGAAGAGGAATTTCTACAAAGTTGTTGCAGAAGTTGAATGTATCTCTTCTAGGCATTATCAGTACATTGGTTTAGCTCACTTATTCCCAGTTTTCAGAGAAGCAAACCACTCTAATCACATGTATAACTGTCATCCAAATTTTTCAAACAAAATGTGCAGGAAGTAAGGATTTTGTGTGACAGCACCTTCCCTAAACAGTCCCAGAATTTCAAGACATGGTGAACAATACACAGAAGAGACAGGATAATTGCACAGTAAGAACTGCTCAATAAGGAAACCCACCTCTCTCAGTAATAGATCAACCTCCAACCTCTACCAAAGGCTTCCTTTGTCATGCTGGACATTTGTTCAAATCATACTTTTCCTAAAGAATCAGTCTTGTCTTCCCCATTTTTCAGCAGGTCTATTTTGACACCTGGGATCAGTTCTGCAGACAGAAGTGAAGAAGGCTGGGCTTTGAACACAAAGCACTGCAGAACTTGGATAACGCTGGAGAGTCAGGCCTGCAGAGACCCCATATGGACCCCTTGAATTTGGGGGTATTTCCCCACAGCATTAATCTTCCTGATTTTGAAATAGCGGTAACACCCTCTTGCCTTGTAGGGGTGTTTTCAAGGTAGCTTCATGAAGAAAATTCAAACTGCAGCAGTAAGTGCAGTGTTTATTTTCCTGCAGGTGTGGTCCTAAGTGGAGTTTGAACCGTGTTAAACAGGCCATGCAGCAAACAACTGTAGTTCAAATAATAACTACGATTATTAATAACCCAGTAGCTGTTGTCTCGGGGACAAAGATCTATTACATTCCTAGAACCCCACGTGTCCAATGCAAAACAAAGGCGGCTACGTGAATAGAGATTTTTAGAATATATTAACGACATTGCCAGCAGGGCAGGCTGCCGTCTTCCCACTAGCAGGGGAGGGAGGTCATAGCCAACTCCCTGCCCTACCACAACACTGGACCTCTTGCATAGCCTGCACCAGAGCTGATTTGCAGGCTCTCTCCTGACAGGCACTCAACGAGGCTTTTACTACGTGCACAATGCAGTGCATGCATGCACGCAGTAATTCCCTCCCTGTTCCCCGGAAGGGTAGATGGGAATGAAAGTGGCTCTGGCAGTGGCAGCTTTTTCCTGGTACCTTTCCCAGGGAATGGAGAAGAACGCACCTACATTATACAAGCTCAATAAATCTGTGCTTACAGGAAGTTACTCTGGTGCCTGCGCGAAAGAACAGTAGCTTATTCTGGGTCTAATGAATTGTCTTGGGGTCCTGCCAAGAGCTTGCAGGCTATGGCTGCAATGCACAGATGCAAGATGCAAAATAGAGCTGCATGGACTGCTTTCATCCAGCCCTTGGCATTGCAATCTTAATCTTCTTCTGACATAGCTACCAGCTATAACTCCATTCCAATATGAAGCAAGAGCCCACAAATCTCTTCTAACTCTTCTTAAACTGGAATTCTCATTTTCTGACTAACTTCAACAAGTGGGAAACTTTAGCTGTTAAGTTTAACCATTGAGCATGGAGAGAAATTGTTTCCCTCCAGCTACCACATCTACAATTGCTTTACAAGACCTGCAAAATTAGTATTTAATATTAAAAAACCCAGAAGTACTTAAAGGAAATGTTAGCAGGGGAAGACACGACTGTTGAAACAAACAATTGTATGTGTGCACCAGGTAGGTCCAGTACATGCCCTCCCCTAGCCCCACGATTCCCACGACTAACAGAACGCAGAGGTGACACGCTATTTGGTACATAAAGGTCCACACAAACCATCTCAGAAGTGAGCAACATTGGCTGCTGCTTTGACCTTCCTCACCCAGGCCAGCTCCTGGGGAGAATCCCAACTGTGGCCCCAAAGCTTAGGACAGGCCAGATGCCGCATTTTTCCCCAGTTCACCTTCTCCTTACACTCCCTGCTGTCTGTGGTCACAGCTCCAAATGACAAGTCTCTATTATCTCTTACCATATGTAAAAGGCTAGGTAATGTAAGTGCTCTAAAACACAGTTCCCTTCTTTCTAGAATGCTCTTTATGGACTTCATCTCAGCCTAATTTCATTATAAATTGCCCTCATCAACCTCCCAAATAACACAAACCATACCATTTCAAGTGTGTCTTTTTTTAATGGGTCCAGGGAAAGCACAACAGACCTTTTCAGTCATGAATTCCTTTACTGCAAATCTCCATTATACGTATCCCCACTCCCTGCCTAGCTAATCCGAGCATCCATTATACGCAGGCTGTTTATCCTCTCCTTGAGACCTCCACAATTATAACTCGCTACATTGGGGGAAAGGATGTGTCGAGCAACAAGCAAACCAGCTGCGGCAGCATCATTAATCACAGCTTAAGTTGTTGGTGACCCAGACGCTTCACTTATTAATTTTAACTGGGGACTGGAGTTAGAAGTTTCACATTTTAAAAAAGTTTAAATAGCAGAATTAGCAACAAGGAGTCAGCAACTTTGGGTAACAATGGGGAATGTGAAGTAATATATTAAATCCTCAGATGAGGAAGTACTGGCATTGTCTGATGCTTAAATTCTCAGAGCCCATGGCAGCCGCTGTAAATGGAGGCCAGGTGTAATTTAGGTTAGCAAACTCAAACTGTATTTCCTAGAACTTGAATATGGGCTGATCAACAAGCATCTTCAGTTACCTGATTTATCTCTACATTTAAACATTTCAGCTGCATGCCTAAAATATTTATGGAGCTATACTCACTACTCTGGTTTATGAGTATATATTGAGAAAGGGTGTCAAGCCAGCGTATTTGATTAGTTTGCTGTGACAGCTGAAAAGGTAATCTCTCAAATGTGCAGCTAATAAATTATAAAACCTGGCTTCTGGAAATTATATCTCATGAATACAGTAGATGTTGAATTCAGATTCACTAAATTGTGATAAAAATGGCTTTACACAAAATGAACTTCCATTCAAACGTCTAACAGTGCTTTCAGATTAAGAACCACACAAATAGTACTTAAAAACCTCTCAGCTTTGTATAAACAAGGGTTAAGTCCTAACCGAAGCACTTCTGCTAATGAAAAACTCCTTCTGGCTTGCACAAAATCCAGTTTAACACCATCCTAAGTGATAATGTCCAAAAATAGATGAATTCAAAAGCCAGCATTCAATTGGAACTAGTTTCTACTTGTAAACCCTGATGAGTTTTTTATGAGGAAGATGTCTAAGAAACGAATCCATAAATAAGAAGGAATTCTGATAAAACTCTTCATACAGAGTTGAGTGGAGCTACTCAAATCTTGTTCTGCTCCTGAGCATTTCATGGTCAGTTCCAGCTAGTGTCCAACATAAGAACTGGAGTGTTTCAGTCATCACCTGACTACACTTAGGGCACTTCTCCACTGGGTCAGACATTTGCATCAGTTTCCAATACAGAAAGAAATAGCTCCACCTTATTAGTTGCTAAAAGTTGTTGGCCATGTCAGTGGGCTCAGGAACTGAGCTGTCAAGTTGTGAGAGGTGAAGGAAGTAGCCACATCTGGGTTAAGTTCAAGACCTCTTCTGTGCAGGGCTGCAAGTTTTTGGTAATTTTAAGTCTTTTGGAATCAAAAGGGGATTTTTTCCCCCAGATTTGGTCTCCTCTATCTCCTGTTTCAATTAGTATACACTGTCCTTTATTAAGGAGACAGCAGGACCCAGCTGTGAAAGGACTGTATTTGATGAACAAAGGTAGAAGAGTCCATAATAAAAAAACCATCACACTCCTGCAGTTGTAGTAATTTAGGGCTTGTAAACTTTCACTCATAAAAATGCAAACTATATACTCACTTTGGATGTCTGATGTCTGGAAGGGAACGATTCAGAGAAATTTTATCACTCACAAAGATATTAAAGCCATTTTCCCTGTATGCCTGGTCCACTCGCTCTGCATCAGTCATTGGGTAAGGTTTTCCCTGTTCTCCAGGTCCTACAGATAGACAGAAAGTAAACATGCATCATTACTACTAATTGGTGCATAACTGGCCAGAAACTAATCCATATATCAAAAGAAGAGCAGTCATAGTCCTTTGAAAATTCCTTCATTAGTTTTGTGCTCTATGTCATATTTAGCACAGGGTCAACCATATCAACCTAACAATTTTATTTGATAAGCATTTTGCTACAAACCACTCAAACTGTAGAAGTTAAGAGTCTTCCTTCCAACATCAGAAACAGATGAAGGGGCTATGGCAACGCTGTGGAGGATCTATAGAATGTTTTTCGTTTCACTGCAGGAAGAATACATATGGTTCAAATACCTCATCACTGTTGCTTTTTTCAGCACAGATGGGTATGTATATTTAACAACCTGAACTCTTGCACAGAGGAGGCAAAGCCCTTGCAGACACACCAGTGTAAAGCTGTGACGTTCAAAATGGGCCCTTTTATGCAATGCAAGACAAAAGCCAGAACTATGGAATAAAACTTGCATGAATGTTATAATCTAGAACATTTTTCTTATCCCTCTTCTTCCTTTTTGGATCTCCCATTTTTCGGAGAGGTACAGACACACATTTTTTGTTAAGTTTTTTAAAAATCAATACTTCATCTATCCTAAAAACACCAAGATGTTACCAACATATTTTCACTGCAGAACAGTTATTGTGGAGTTGGGGGAAAAGGCTTTAACTGGGATTAACACACAGTAACTGTTGCATCATGTCAAGAACATCATCTTGACCCTGAAGTTGAACGTGCTGTTCTGCACTCAGCCTACTAAATAAAATCAAACTAAATTACAATTTGTATTAAAACATTTTTATAGTAACCTTACATACCTACACGCTCAGAGTCCCTCCTTATAGCTTCTTTGTTATGCCAGTCCTTTTTCCTTTGTCCATCACCAAAGTAAAGGTCTTTCTTTTGCCTCACGTATGATGCCTTTTAAATAAAAGATTGGATATATTAAATATACAACATGTGAAACCTTTCCTTAACAGCCTCCCCTTCCTGTAAGGGGAGATTAAATATCTTTGTTAAGATAAGACCGTCACAAGCAAGCAGTTTTTACCCTGAAAGGGGTAAGGGAGGAAGCAAGTTTTGCTTGCCTCGGAACAGTATTTTATCTATAGCTGTTCGGTGATATTTTTTCAGGGCACCATCATGTATGCGGACCAGTATTCTTAATCAGGGAATCTATTAAAAATTCCCATTTTCATTTTGAAAACATCCAATACATCTTACATCCCATTTAATTAACAATAAAGCTGTAATGGGAGACCTATTGCAGGATCATTATTAAAAAGCACACTACTATACCTGAATAAAATCAAAATAAGATTTAAAAGATCATTTATTAAGACTCTTGCTGCTCAACTTAAAAGCAGATTTTACACAAGGCATGAGCCTGCACTAAACCCAATTAGAGCTCCTCTTTTCATGATGTTGTTCCTGAAATTCAAAAGCAATGGGTGCTTTGGGAACAAGTTAGCAAGTGAAAGATGGGATGAATTCAGGATCAAAGAGACTATGGTGCGTGGAAAGAAAACCATCATACATCTCAAACACAGACACCCCAAAATCCAAGGGAAATAAATATATATATA